ATTCAGCACGACCGGGCTGCATCTAAGCTGGTATAGCTACAGCAGCGTCCGATTCAAAAACACATCATCCGCTAAGCCTTTACGCCTTGTATCACTGCAGGTTCTGGCACGCTCCCTCACAACACGCTAACGTCACAAGTAACACAGGGTCAGAGTTGATTGCAAGCCTGTCGGTGATTTGGCTGTGTTGGCCTCCTGCACTGCTTCATTCCAGATTCCAGGTACTGTCGCATCTACGTTTTTTAAGCAAGTTTCAGTTGAATGCAAATGGAGCTGGCAGTGCACTCCGACACAAGCGGAGCTCACTGCAGGTAGCCACAGCCCCTGTATGGAGAATCCGGAACACAAACACAAAAGGAGCCGTCGATCTGACAACAGACGAGTAGTTGCGACGGATGACCTGTCAAAATGTTGATGGTCTTTGCAGATGGGGTGGTGATCGGTGCTCAGACAAGGGAGACCCCTAGGAGCCAAGGGAGCATTCATGCTTGCAGCACTGTTTGTGGGGGTATACTGACCACCGTCATCTTCTGCATCTGAGAGGAATCAACAGAGTGCACGCTTTCACTCGTAACTAGAAGCCAAGCAGAGCAGATTACCGACATGGCTTCGGATCGCAGCTTCAGCCGAGCTGCTCCAGGACCACTCAGCACCATGGGTATGAGCTTTGCGCACCTGGAAGCTTAAACAGTTGGTGCAACATCCTAAGAATTGGGTTCTGCTGCTGTTGAGCTAGAATCCAAAATCATCCAAAGCTCTATCCCGACATCCGACAGTGTGCATGTTGTCACCACTAGCAACTAAATTCACACCAAGCCGGCTTTTTCAAGGTGGGGCTGGATCGCGGCCTGATGGTTCAAAAGTCCATCGTCGTCGTCATCACCTCAGCTGACACGTCAGCATACTGAAGGAATACTAGCACATATCAGCACGTAACAAGCAAAAACAATAACGATGACAACAATGATGAAACTAGGTCTGTTGAAGAACAGCGATACTTTTATGAAATATGCGTAAGCACATGTATACATATGTATGTATGTATGTATGTATGTATGTATGTATGTATGTATGTATGTATGTGTGTGTGTGTATGTGTGTGTGTATGTATATATATATATATATTTTTTGGCTCCCACTTGGCAACGTCCGCAGACACTGCATGGCAGGTGTCGAAAGCTCAGGAGAATCAGATACACCTCACCCCATCAGGACTGCACACAGGGCGTGTGTGAACTGACGTGAAACTTCCAGGCAGGAAACAGTGCGACCATTATATATATATATGTATGTATATATATATATATTTATATGTATATATACGTATACACAGACACTTTCGTTGTATTATGTCTGTTTGTAAGACAGTCTACAGAAAGCAAGGCTGGAGGGAATGGACTTCAGAAGAGGCTTCTTGCCTCCTGCGCAAAGCAGGTCAGTTTGGCAACAACTCCCAGAACTGTTGAAAGTTCTAGTTCTGCATAACTAGTATTTGGCTAAATGTGTTTATGTGCTTCTTTTAAAATTTATGATATTCTACCGCGTCTATGCATCTTTCGCATCATGCAATCACAGATGTCGAAATCCGAGGAATGAGGGAATGTGCGAATACCTGAAGACTGGAAGGACGTCAACCATATCGAAAACTCCTGAAACCCTAAAATTTCTAGAAACCTCCACCCCTTCTCATCCCCCCTTCCAACCCCGAAAGGCTCCGGCCGAGGATAGTCAAGAGAGCCTTGCCGTCCTCGCCCTTGCACTCTGCAGACCTTGCAAGCCGTAGGATTCAGATGAGAGCGGTCCGGCCCATTGAAGCTTTCAGCCACATCCAGGGTGAAATTGTGAGCCGAAGCCCGCCAGTTCTGGGTGGTGCCACAGTGAGAGAAGCAGCCCGAAAAAACAGTGTCTTTGCTAGCTGAGATGTCCTCCCTACGACGGAGAAGCCTCAAGACTGCGAGGAAAGTGGAGGATTGAACGGCGTCGGAAAACTGGCCCTGGCCAAGGCGTCCAGGCTGTAGTACCACAACATGCAAGCAGCGGCCGGGCGGGCAGCAAGATGATGAGCTATCAGTATGAGTTTACGATACCAGTGCTCTGCAACTTCTTGCCTTCATTGATTTGTATGTCTTTTGTTGTCGCTGTGCAGTAATCCGACATTTGTCGTGATTGCCTTGCTCCGCGGTGTGTCGTTCATTCATGCTTTGTCTGTACTTTTGGTCCATGGAAACAAGCTACAGTATAGTGCTAGATGTGTAGATCTTCTGTAGGATTCCACGAACCGTTTAATGCTGTAACGAAAGTTGCGAGGATATCTGGGCTCCCCACAACTTGGCAGACCCCTCGGAAGATGCCATCGGCTCACAAAGCACCTCCAGGAGTGTGATTTTGCATGCGTGAAAGCAACCCATGCTCTTGCCGGGATCTCCCAAAGATGAACACTCTGCAACTCCAACCTGAAACCCCAATTAAGAAAGGTGCGAACTGCAGCTGACGTGATCCATGCAGGCGTCAATCTCTACTATACTTAAGTGCAGACAGCGATCGAAGCTGTCAAGCTCTCAACATCTGCTTGCGGATCTCACAAACCAGTTTGCAAACCAGATTGTGCTGAGCACGCGCAGAGGAAAAAAAAACGTCCTAGTCTGCGAGTGGGCGGCCTCCACAAAAAGGTCCTTCGTGCCTTTCTGCACCTCCCACGTGAACTGGCCCTGCACCCTGCGCAGACACCGAAGCAATGACAAGGACAACTCAGCTAAGTAGTGCAGTAATGTAGGTCTGAGACAGCTACCAACAAGTATACTCGCCGGACAGACCCAGAATGAGAACCATCCTCATTTTTGAGACCACCATGATTCATTGTGACCATCAGAATTATCATCTTCGTTGCAAAAACAAACAAGGAGTTCCAGCGATGGATCACACAAGTTGATTTGATCCCTGGAGGTTAAAGGCAGATTCCTGTGCAGGCATAGACATTTTACGCACGCGGCAGGCTGATTATGTTTCCGCCGCCTTTGTGACAAGCACCAGCGAGTTGTAGAAATCGTTCTTCCCGACACCGTTAAGAGCCGTGACCATCACTCACAGACCCCGAAACCGTACGGAAGCCCGAAGATTGGTTCAATTCCTAGGAATTGAAGAAATTGTCCGATCTTACCTTTCTTGAGTAAGTGACCACCCTGAACTTTGGGGCTCCCACGCTGCCCGCGGCGACAAAATCATGGACTTCCGGCCCTTCCCTGGCGTATGCTGGGACTTCACTTCTGATGATTGTGGGCGCTTGCCAATGCAACGGTAAAGACAGGAGAGCTTGACAGGGCCCAGAGAAGATGTGCGGGTGCCGGTGCTGAACAAATGTACGGTCCATGCTCGCGATCAGCATTTCCGGACAGTGGTCGTCATTGCATACTTGATCGAGATATCAAATATCGTGAGGAGGCAAAGTTGGCTTTGTTCTGGCACGTCCCAATCCCAAAAATTCTGAAGCAGCCTCCAAGCAGTATAGGGACCAAAATCATTGGAACAAGCGTAATGATGGTCGGTTGACGACGAGCAACATCTGCGCAAGCCCGGACAACTACCATAACCCATGATTGCTCGAGATGCTCTGCCTCCAAGGCAGTCCATGACGAGCGGCTCCTCCAGCAGTGTGCTCTGCATGACATGGGTCGTTCGCATCGGCTTTGTCACCGGCCTCGTCATCATGACAACCATAACCAACCGCAGCATCATCCTCATCACTGTTGCCATCATCATCGTCGTCGTCATCCAAAGTGGTGCAGGATTTATTCCGACAGCAATGCTACAGGACAGCATGCCGCGAAATCATCGGGTCCTTCTGATAGAAGCCCTTGTTGCACAGCAGGTGCTGTTCACCTTGCCCAATCAAGCTTTGGTTGCGGACATTCTCCAGAACCATTCGAAGCACAGCATGCGACAAAGTCCTAGACTCCTAGACAGCAGCTTTACCCTTTACATACCCTGCACAGTACCTGCTCCCTCTTCATGCTTGTCAAACCGTGCACAATTTCAGACAGGCAATCTTGAGAGCTGCAATGTTTGCTTCTCTCAGAAATAACTCTTGGCGTTGTGCTCACAACCCATCACGAAGCCTTCGCAGATCTTTGGTGCGGCAAGGGCCAGAAGCAGCCATAGAGTCGTCTGACCTGCAGATCGACAAACCCACCTAAACAAAAAACAAGCTCTATTGATGTTTCGGGTGTCTTTGAGTGATGTCTTTCTTGCGGGGAATCCTTGGACCAAGAACCTCGATATGGCGGGTTTATACAGGACTCCAGTATCTGAGGCTTCACTGCATTTGCTGTGCCGCTACCTACATACACCTCGAGACTGTGCTGCAGGATGGCAATCTCATCTCGGTGGAAGTTTAGCACGCCGGGCCTCAAGAGATTGCAGACTGATGCCAAGCAAGGTGAAGGAAGGAACCATGTTCAATGTTTGGTGCCTTTCCATCCGGTGAGAGCTGCATACAACACCAGGAGACTCTAGTCGAGGGACGTGGATCTCACTTATGTTATGTAGACTGCGTCACTATGTTCGCTAAATCAGAGTTGGGCACACATTTCATTACCTCCAGGAGTTTACCGTTTTACAGCCTCGTGCAGCTGCCCCATGGAGCATGGCCCGTGCTGCTGTCACGCCATGCTTGCTCGTCTCGGGCCCGTGTGACCGATTACTGGAACATTTAAATGAAACTATGAACTAATTCTCTGTTCTTCTTGGGCCCCGCTTGTCTTCTTTCGAAACCCTGTGCGACTTATCTTTGCTTTTCTTCAATGGTGGGTACCGGGCCCGTGTCATGTATGTCTACCCTCAAAAGCCTCTACCATCTCCAGACCTCCTGTTGTGGGCTCTGACCTCAAGAGTAGCGCTCAGGCTCTGAGCAAGGAAGGGCGTCAAAGGAGAAGAACCAACTGCCATCGTATTCTTTCAGCCCAAACATATCGCACAGGGCGCCATCGGCGGCGCAAGCCCTTTTGCTAGCTCAAACCGATCCTTTGCGAGTCGGGAAGTGGTGCTATGGCACTCCGAACTTCAGAAGGATCCAGGCTGTCCAGGTCTGCCATCCATTGGGGAGCGCCGTCTTTGTCGATCCTGAGCTGGCAGCTCGTATGTTCCTTCCTGCCCCTCCTTGGCGGAGAGTATGCTGGCAGGCTGGCATCCGGTCGCGACCTGATTTGTGACCGAGCAACAGAGCTGCCCTGACGCCTTCATAGAAGTCGCCGGCTCTGAGCAGCCTGTCACGGAGTGCGACAATGCGAAGTGCCCGTCCGCTGGTCTTACACTCTTACACCCAAGCCCGGTGCCTCATGAGTGTCGCATAGTCTCGCTCCAACGCCCTACAAAGAAGCTCATGGCCTAAGGCGGCTGCTTCAGGACGCTTTCGCGGTCTCGAGTGCACTTCTCGCGCATTGGCCGTAAGATCTGGCAGGTTTGGGGCGGCTATCGTCGCTACGAAGGTCAAAGGGATCTTTGGCAAAAGTTGGTCATCGGGCATCGGTGGTTCAGCATTCAGCATGAACATCCGAAGGCTTGGCTTAATCGACAGTCGGACTCTCAACGACACTGGTTTTGAGACTTCGAATTTCGAAGCTGAACGCAGCTGAGGGTCGATCTGATTCCTTGGAAGCTTCCCGTTCTGCTTGGTCCATAAGACACTGCACGACCTCCTGAGTCATTGGGCATCCCTTCTCGAAGCCTGAAAGCCTCTGCTCCACCCAGCTCTTCACATCAGCATCGACTTCCAAGTCTGCCGACAGAGCCCTCAACCGATCCCGGATCTCTTTCGCTGACGTGGCCGGGGTGAAAGTCTGGCTGAGTACTTTGAGAATCGTGTCATCGAGCCCGGAGTCCACCGAGTCCAGGCTCAGGGTCTCTTCCCGGAGTATCTGAGCCAACTGCACCTTCGAAGCCTCGTCTTCCCAGTTTAAGCGAAGGAGCTTCTCCTTCAAGGCCCCAAGGCCCTTCCAGGGCACCAGGTGCGTAGCCAAGCCTGCAGCCAGCGCCTCCGCGCCTGTGAGGCGCCAGCCGGTCAAAGCCATGCATCGGCCGAGCCCCGGCGCCGGCAAAGCAGCAGCCATGGCCTTGGAGGAATGCTGGTAACGCCCAGAGAGGACACGATCGACATAGATAGATAGATAGATAGATAGATAGATAGATAGATAGATAGAACTATATAACTATAACTATATTCATTTCTGTATCTCTATCTATATATGCATACATACATGTGTGTATATACATACATACATACATACATACATACATACATACATACATACATACATACACATACTTCGAGATGTATTTGTCCATTTTGTTCACGTGTATTTACACGCAAATTGTTTTTATATGCATGCGTGCATCAACCTAGCCATCCGTACATGCATAGTAGCAAGAAAAACGTGTCAGATTATTTTCCGTATGGGTTAATTATGCTTAGTACCCAAATGAAAGTTGAGGTTGAGGCTTAAGGCTGCCGTACGCAAGCCTATGCTGAGTGGCGCTGAAGCCAACATCCGGTGAGATGCCGATGGCGCACTCGGGCATGGCCAGCAGCGACCGCTCTGTCACCACACGGAACTCTGCAGCGCAGGCCAAGCCGAGGCCGAAGCCCATGGTAATGCCGTCCATAAAAGCAATCACCGGCACGCCTTCCTGCCTCAGGGTTTGGGCGGCTTACGGGGTTCCGTCTCTCTCAGCTTGGATGCCAGACGAGGTCTCTCGGTGAGTAGTGTAAGACTTGGTTTTAACATCTCCTCGGCATTTACCATCAGCTCAACTGACGGACTAGAACGCAGGAACAAGGTAAACATGCATACACCCTGATTCAGGTATTTTCAGTACGAGGTCAAAATCTGCATCAACACCTACTAACGTCTGCTAGGCAGAGAACCATCAAAAAAACTTAGGAGAAAGCCATCCGATAGGTTCCAGAGACTAGACCGTGAGGGCAGGCATGCAACCAAAGCCAACGAGCTTACAAGAGGTCGCGGCCTCTTCAAGGAGATACATACCCAGGTGTCGGGATTTAGGGTGTCACACTCGGGCCAAAGGTTCTCGATTCACGTTGGGCCACGGGTGACATGTCACAGAGCTCCCAGCTTCGACCCCATGCGAGATAACGACACTTATAGCAACCCTTACAAATTCGTTTTTTCCCTTGTTTACAGTAATCCTGTAATCCTATTCCCGCAACCCAGCTTGGGATTTTGGATCCCGTCTCACCTCATGCGGCTGAGGGCGGCCACAGCCCGGTACTCATGGCCAAGCTGCAGCTTGGGGAGCGAGCTGCTTGGCTCCTCCTGATGGATCAAGCTTGCAAGGGACGGAACCTGGCTTGATCTGCGCTGGTGCGCTGGCAGGTTTCAAAGGCTTTCCTTGACTACGTTAGTTCTTTCAACAGCTGCGGCATTTGAGTTTGTGCGAGCTGGAGACGAGATATATCGGACAGGGTGCAGGGCCAAGTCGGGCATCCAGAAGGACCAAGATGATCACGAGCCTGATGATGAAGGTGATGTGATGGTGGCGATGGTGATGGTGATGGTGATGATGACGATGACGACGATGCGACGGTGCTGACGACGAGTGATGCTGCTGCTGCTGCTGCTGCTGCTGATGGTGTTAGTCATGAGATGAAGGCGGGGAAGAGGATGACGGCCTCCATACAAGGACTGGGAAGAAAACGGCTGAGAATAACGATGCTGCCATCAGCCGGCATTGCCAATAACATCGCATCAAAGATGCCATGCCTCTTGGCGGCACAAGCCACGGCGTTACCACAGGGGAGGTTGCTGCAATTCGTCATATTGGCAAGACTGCCACTGATTAGCGGACACGCTGTGCGCCACGGTATTCCAGCACTGCGAGCAGCCCGAGTCGACTGGTCGTCGCATGGTTTTCAACTCATGGGTTGATGTGAATGAACCTGGCTCGGCATTTATTCTGGTTACACGACGCAACTAATTATGGGCAATCGCTGCACTCGTAAATTATCTTCGAACTCATCGGAAAGTCGTTTTGGACCCACAACAGAAACGTTATCTTTGATGAGCCTTTGAGAGATGAATGTCGATGAGACTACTTTATGATAACAGAACAACAAGACATAGTGTTTGGGTCTCAACCCTTTTCTCTCAACCCGAACTCCTTCATCATCGTAGCCATTGCCTTGACATCGCCGCCCGCACAGAAGGCAGCCTTGCCAGGGGCTCCTGCGTCGGAGCTCTGCCTGGCTGCTCCCGAGAAGGGCTGTCAAGAGTAGTAATAGCATGGGGGACCGGAAGGATCGTGGTCATGGATAACCCAACTACAGGAAGGACTTAAGTAGTTGCAACGAATACAGAAAATATCTATCGTAATTAAGACAGGATATAAGCAAGGCAAAAAAGGGCTATGAACCGAGTGACAGAAGAAGACACTTCGAGTCGGCGCTTGCGGCTTCTCCAATGGCCTTAGCCATCAGCGCGTCGCAGGCGTTCAGCGCCTTAGGCCGCTGGAGCCTGGGCATTCACAGTCTCAGCTTGCGCTTTGCGGAAGATGGAGCTTGCTCAACCCTAGAAGCGCCCTTAAACTTTAAAAGACCTGAAGAGTAAAAGTAAAAGGAACCAAAGATGGAAGTGAGAATTGCACTCGGGAGCAGAATCGTGCGCAGTCCCGACTCCGAGCACTCAGAGCGGATGAACTCACATGGCTCGCTCATTCGCCGCAGTAGCTCCTGGTTGCTGGGCTGGAAGATGCGGCTGCGAACGTAAGCCTGTGCGGCCTGTCTGACGACTTCGGCCGCTGTAGGATAGGGATGAATGGTGCCGGCAAGCTCATCTGCTGTGATGTTGTGTTGCATGCACAGTGTGACTTCAGATATGTGATCACCAGCATTCGGGCCAACGATTGTAGCACCCAGGATCTTCCCGTCATGACCCACATGGAGACTGGCAAAGCCATCCGACACCCCCTCCTTGGCAGATTGGCAAGAACAAAACATCTTGCGCATGCCTCTTACACGTATTCTTCAAATCGAAAGCACATATGGCCCTGCTGCAGCTGTAGCGGTCGCAGGCGCTTCACGAGAACATCTATCGTCGCATCTCGTCGTGGACAAACTCAGGCCCATATCATAGCGCGGAGATTGCCATAACTCTATAGAGTCGAAAGACTAATTATAGTTAGTTAGACTCTAGAGGCTAGAAGAAGTTAGAATCGCTACAAACGGTTGGTCAGACTTCAGCTGGGCTTCGCAACGAAATCGATCGACATCTGCTGCTTGTCGCACGAACGTCTTGAACTCCACGCCTGGTGCTAGGAGGTACTACACATTAAGACAGAATGCGCAGCAGTCTTCCGGATCTGGTTTGAAGAACACCGATGCAGAAATGTTCTTACATCCACTCACAGCTTAATGACTGGCTTGTTGGGTCCAGTCCACTATGTGTAACTCGCCAGCAACTCTGCTCCACTCTCGGCCCCGCAGCGCACCTGCGGAACGCAGCTGTGCAGCCGAGCGCCCAACCGACGCCACCTGGAGCTTCCGATTGATTTTCAAAGTTACAGGCCTAGATTGCCCTTAAGCCTGTGGCAAGATGTTGCCCGCAAAGTTCGTGAAATCAATCTCATGCCATAAAGACATAAAACCCAGGTTGTCCCAATGGCCCAACTAGGGCCTCGTTAGGCGGCCTAGGTCCCAGGTCCCACGGCCCTTGGCCAGCTTTAGCTTCGGCCATCTCAAACTCGCTCTACCTCGGAGGCTTCGGCGATGCAACGGATCCAACGTTACCCGACGACCTCTGTCGCTTACCTGGCCAAGGCCTAAGGTTCCCCCGACCCCGAGCTTCGGACAGGTCTTGGTCGTGGAAAAGTGCTCCCAGGCCCTCTTGGGAACAGGCTCCAAACCTAAAGTGTCAAAGATCTCCGGCCTCCGGATCCGTGTACGTTGCTCGTGGGACCAGCAGCCTGGTGCGACAGACAAGAAAGCGAAAGCGCCCCAAACTGAGCTTTCACCGCTCCTCCGGGCATCGATCTCCTCCCCAAGCATCGCATTGCGCACAGCAACACGAGCTTGCCACTCGGCAGCATGCGTGAAGCGGCTGCCATCCGGCAAGCAATCGCCAGCCGCAAACACATCGGGATTGGAGGTTTGCAACCTGAGGCAGAGAGTGTTGATTCACAGGCCCATCTACCAGAGTCGCAAAATGTGTGCAGCGCGAACGACACCCCCAACATTCTGCGTTTTCAATGTACAAGGTCGAGGAACAAGGCATTGACCTCGAGACCATCATTGCCCCCTCGGACTCCCCCTGCCGAAAGGTGAAGGCCCGTGGTACGAGCAACGCGGCCAGTTGCGTTGAGGAGAGCCTCTGCCTCCACGAGATGTTTTCATCATGTTTGAGATAGATATGCGGAGTTCCAACTTTTGAAATTTAATTATTCAAGGTGCCTAAACGAGACTGGCCGAAACTCTGGCAGCCTCTATGTGGTGCACTGCGCCGTCGCCGTCTTCATACTCCAGCTGGTAGGTTGCGAATGGAGCCTTGTACATATCTGCCGAATCCGCTTCAGTTGCAGTGGAGCTTCTGCGTATGGCGACCAGGGTCGTCCTTGAGGTTTAAAGAGCGAGAACGGAAGAGCCAGAGAGAGGACGAGAGAGACAGAGAGAGAGAGAGAGAGAGAGAGAGAGAGAGAGAGAGAGAAGGAGAGAGCAAGCGAGCGAGCGAGCGAGCAACGAATGCACTGCATACAAACATAGACATACAGAAGCAGGACAAATTCAGTACAAGGTACGGGCTGCAGAAAAAGACCCCATCGCGTGCCAGCGAATCTCTGACGGCCTGGGCGGCCTCAGGCTCCTCTGTGCACTAAGTTTCTGCGCTTACGATTTCGTCCTGAGTCTGAGGCACCTTTTTATTTCGAAAGCGAACTCAACATGCCATCCGCTGGCACCCAGCTCCTCCTTGCGCATCAATCGGCCGGAGGGACCGGTCACGAGGGTAACCTGGCTGCCCAGTCGCTGCATCGCTTGAGCGATCTCGACACCGATGGTTCCGGCCCCAAGGACCTTAGAATGAGCTCTGCCCGACCCGAAAGTCACATGCACAAAGGCTTACATCGCTTACTTTACTAAACGAATCAACTCGAAAGCGGTGTGTTGAAGCTGCTCAAGAGACGATGAGCCGGGGAGGGCAAGAACGCAAGTTCCAAAGGTTGGAGCTGGTCAAGTGTGGGATACCCTGCAGCTGCTCCGGGACCTGAGACTGCCGGATTGCTCTTTTGGCTGCACCGCCACAGCAGCCGCAGGTGGCAGGCGGAGCAACAACAAAAGCAAAGGACGGGAACAAGGACAGCAGCAGTAACAGTAATGAATTGTTTTCATGCTCATGATGTGGTGCTACTTGTGCTGGTGCTCGTGGTGGTAGGTGCTGGCGAGTGGCGGCTGGCGGGTGATGAGTGGTGAATGGTGGATGGTGGGCGGCTGGTGGGCGGGTGGTGGGCGGCTGGTGGGTGGCTGGCGGGTGGTGGGTGCGCGGTGGGTGGTGGTTGGCTGCTTGTGGCTGGTGGCTCGTTGTTGGTGGGTAGAGATAGTGGGTTGTGCTGCTGCTGCTGCACTCAGATTCACCACTTTTCTTCGGTCCCAAGCGCGCTCCGGTATATGCATCCGAGATCAAGTGTGCTGTATGTACGTGGCAGAGCATTTACCAGGCGGCACCTTGGCAGTCGCGCCAGTTCCCAGGATGCACTTCCTGAAGCGCAGCGTCTCGCCCCCAGTCAGGACAAGCGCATTGCTGTCTGTGAACCTAGGTCGTAGCCACGATTGCGTATTTGGAAATGACAACTCAAGAAAGCCGGGCAATCCCACCTTGCCCGGCCAGAGAACACGTCGACGCCAACATCAACGGTGTACCGGTGCACTGAGTCGTGTTCGGAGATTTCTGCACGAATTTGTCGCATGCGCGACATGACAGCCTCGCGGGAAAATCACACCATCACGCAAAGAAGGCAATACGATGCAAGCGACGAGGTTGACTGCTCACCCTTCTCGGCCAAAAAAAATGGATGTTCTGGCCAAGGCTCCAAAGTCCTTTCAATTTTGCACCAGCACTAATCACATCCCCACCCTCAGCGATCCGTGAATAGACGAGACAAGTGTGCCCTGTGCGGCCCCAATCCACGTAAAGGGCGCAGCAGGAGCCGCACGAATCACGGGTTTTCGTCCAATGGCCGTGCTCAAATAGCATAGTTACTTGTGACTTCAAAACTCGGTTTCCTTTTAACCCATCAAGCTGTGCAAAAATCCTATCCAAGCAGTGCACCAACTCTCAGGCCCATCGCGGCCTCGAAATCGACAGTAACGTCCTCCGGCCTCCCATTACATTTTTGTAGGCGGGCAATTTTTGAGGTTCCGACTGTCAGGCTCTTTCGATATGGTGCGATTGGTATTCGGGTTCGAAGCAGCGAACATACTTTCTGTGTGTGAGAGAGAGACACTTGGGCTTAGAGTTGGAGAGGTCAACTCTTGCAGCCGTCACCAGCGATAGGAATGTGTCGCAGATCTGAAGCTGAAGGTGTAGCCTCCAAGGACCTAAACTGCACCTCGCCTCGGCAGGAAAGTCTGACACTCCTAGACCACCTGCGTTCCAACACTACCAATGAAGTGAATATGCGGTGGCCTGCCTATGATTGTGATTCTGGAGTTCTGGAGGACACAGGAACTCTGACACTGACAGGTGTCGTACTTTCTTGGTACCACTGCCGGCCTCAGTGCAACACCGAAGCGGCTGGCATCTCGGACCCTGTGTGCCGCCTGCGCAGCCGCGATAAGGGCCTCCAAGACGGAGCATGTGCTTGCGAGATCCAGGATTAGGCTTTCGTGTGGTGATTTGCAGAACTACGCTAGCAAGGCAGAGTGAACTTGAAGGACAAGTTTAGGTTTTGGGATGTTGATTGCAATGGAAAGACTAGAGGATTCCGAGCGTCGCAGGAGAGCGTTATCCTTAACCCCAACCATCCCGAAACCCAAAACCGAACCTTATTCCGGGAGACGGAAACAGCAGGGACTCAGGGACCGGGATAGCTCTGAAGGAAACTTCATAGTTTGACCCTGAACAAGCACAATGCCTTGGATGGAACGCATCCAGTGTTCAAGCAGTCGCCACCCATATAATGCTGCTCCTCAGCTGACCACTACGGAAGAATGGTGCCAGCCTTTGTTCGAGCGTCTGCAGTAGCCACAGTCTCATGGCTTAAGCAAATACAATTGACAAGAAGTACTTGCAGAGAGAATGCCACTGAACCCAGCAATGAACAAGCACAACACTCGCAGCCATCCCTGCAAATTAGCAGTCGCAGTCCTAGCAGTGCCTCAAGCTCGCGATCCCATCCACTCTAGCGAGACCTCTCCAACAACTTGTGGCATGAAGGGCTGGTGATCGGGTTGCGATGGCCTGATCAAAACGCACCGGCTTCATCACGAATCATCGTGCAGCACTCAACAATCAACAGTGCAAACAAACCCAGTGGCGAGCAACAGCGCAGCAATGGGAATCAAGAAGCAATCCGGGAGAATCATACTGCTGCACTAGTCCGTGGTGAGAGTTGGCGGTGGCGGCAGCCCAGACGAGGTGCAACCATAGCAATCTTCCGACCCATTTGTCGACCAACAATGCCTTGATCTTCGGCAGGGTGCGCAGAAGATGTAAGTCGGCTTGTCTGGCTTACAGGCCATTACACGACAAGCCACAAGAAGCATCATGACAAATGCAGCGAATGCAGTGCCAACGCCTGCAACATCAGTCTCGATGGCAATAGATGTGACAATGGCAGGCTTTGCTGGCGAGTTACAGCTGATGAGACCCGCGACGCCTGCCTTGGATTCACAGCGAGAGCACTGCAGCCTGGCTTTGTCCCGAAGACCATGTGTCGGCCCTTGCTCTTTTGTTCAAGATGGTGGCTTTCCGGAAGCGAAATTCGAAGCTGTTCGCTCATCAGGGAGCAAAGAAGCATGCTTTTCTACAAGGCTGGCCCAGTCACCCCGAGCACCACCAAGTCGTAGCCTGGCTTTGAGGTAGACAGCTTACAAGGCCTTACAGCCCTACAATACTGCGACTCCTGTTCTTTGTTTAGCTGTGGCTGCTAGTGATCCACTGTTGCTAGCTGCCACTCCGACGGTGAATATCAACAAACTCCCCCCTCCCATCATCACCATCATCATCATCATCACCATCAGCATCATCAGCAACAGCAGCGTCAGCATCATCATTCATCAACTTCAGATTCATCACCCACACCACCTCCTCGTCGTCCTGCCGTTCTGATTCTCATCCTCATCGCCACACTATGTGTGGCTGCCGGCGGTGCTGTTTCCGCACTGCTGCTTGTAGTGCGGCCAGGCGTGCTGTTTCCACTCGCCTAGTAGCAAGACTCTTTCCACCTTGATTGTAGCGGGTTTGCAGACTGTGAATTTGCAACCACGAACCTCCATGCAAAGACTATGCTTGTTTTCGTAACCTTTTCAGTTCAACTCTATACGAGGCTGAAAGCCGTACAACACTGGGTGATATTGAAAACAGCAATGTCCTGTCGCTGCTCCAACAGCCATCAAGGAGCAGGGCTGTGGCTGTGGATTCGCTCGCATGGCAGGATCCTTGACATGGCGGAGCACTGGCAAGAAGCATGTGTATAAACTCAGAAGATCTACAGCAACCATCAGTCAACTAAGCTGTCTCCTATCATCTGAGACCTGATGTCGAACAGATGAGGATCCACGTTTGCCACCAGGCGCTGCACACTGGGGTCATCGCGGGGCTCGGCACCGTACCTTTCACCCGTGCTCATGATCTTGCTACCTGATCCCCTCTACTGACAAAACACTGCGGTCAGCATTAGCTGCATGGGACAGCCCCTGACCGCTTGCTGATTGATTAATACAAGTACCATCGGCAAAGCGAACATCACAGTGACCAACAGCATCACTGACACGACGGGCATGCTTGACGATAATTACGCACTATGAAGAATCCATGATCTGAACCAAAAAACGCGACAAGTACTTGCCACGTCGCTGCTCAATCTATGTATACATGTATATATAACTATCTATCTCTCTATCTATCGCTCTATCTCTGTATCTCGCTATCTATATACCTATCTATGTCGGCAAGCAGGGACATCCTGGAGACTCGAGGCAACAAGGGGTCACAGGCCACGAAACTCAGTATGGGGCAACGGGGTGTCATCGACCATGAAAGTCAGCATAAGGCATCGCGTACTGCCGGCATACAGAGGCTCTTATTGCTGAAACCAAGGTAAATTCAAGGAATATCTCAACCAGCCAGTCGCCATACCATCGCGTCTCGCATTTTCAGCCACAAACTGCTTCCGCCGGAGTAGGTACCTGTACCGAAGTCACGAGTGCGGCGAAGATGCTCATGCTCCAATCTTCCCCCGTTGGCTTTACCCGGTGGAGGCAAGTCTGCCCAGCGCTGATGCCCCACCTGTGTGTGGCGGCTCGTGAGGTGAGCTGTGGCATACGTGCTGTTCGGCTGGCTGAAAGACTGCAATCTAATCTTGTCCTCTGCCTGTCATTCCTGCAGGTGCCTTCGTTAGACTTGTCGTCGCCCTCGCATGGCGTCTACTTGCTTGCTTGTGTCCTCTTAGATTCAGTGCTTGTGTTTGAGCATTCTCGGTCGAAAGCGTGCGCGTTTGAATACAGCAGTCGTCGGTTCTACGAAGTGGTCTCTTCTTGACAAATCTTTTTTGCAGCGGAATTCGCATGCTGCATTCGTTCCAGGGGCCCTATACCCATCACTTTTTCTTGGCCATACGGCAGCAAAGGCAGCCAAGTCACCAAGGGGCCCAGCATGTCCGAATACATTGTTGCGATCGGGGTGGATCCTGGGCTCAAGGCAGGAAGTGCTGCAGGACGTATCCAGGCAATTATTGAAACATGAGGACATCCACTGCCAATGCTGCTGAGGGGGACTATGCTTTCGGTTTCTGCTGCTGCCCCCCGAGCTTTACCCACTTGGGCTGACGAATGTTCATAAACTCACCCACAACGCTTCACTGTGCACAACTCAAGATATGGATGCTACTGCGGCGGGCTTCAGTCACTATAACCTGGAAGCCTGATTGGCAGCAGCACGCAACAACTTGATTTTACTTCAGCCGCCCTCTGCTCTCGGAGCCGCTGACCAAAAAATACCTGCAAAAGTCTCCTGAAAGCCAAATCGACACTGCAGCATGCCAGCAAGGATCGTCGAGCCCCCAGAGCGGCCAGGAAGAAACCGCCGAGGGCGCCGCGGAAGCCGCGCAGCGCTGCTTTGGCACGGGACACCATGTGCGGTCTTGGGAAGAGCAAGCCAACACCCTGGTCACAGCAGATCAGCAGGAAGAGTAATAGTAGTTAGTGCCTGTAGTTGTAGCAGTAGCAGTAGCAG